GTATCATGGGTTTAGCATGGCCAAGTATTGGAATGCAAAACGTTACTCCGATAATGCAAAATATCTCACCAAATTTGAAAAATTCAATTTTTACTGTTTGGATGGACCGGTGACTAATGCTGGAAATTTATAACAGTCTTGAATCTTGTATAACAATGTAGTTTAAAAAGCGCCTTTAGTAATCGTGGACTATACAAAGACGATAATGGTGGCTCTATTACATTTGGTGGTTTGGATTATTTGCACTGCATTGGTGAACCTGTTTACGTTCCTCTTTCTTCTTTAGGATACTGGCAATTCATAATTGACGGGTAAGTTGATAGCTTTTGATCGTTTTTAGAAAACATGCTGGATAATGCGTCATGTTGCAACAAAGTAGAAAATTTAGCTTTGAAATTGGAACTTATGCGAATATTGCAAAGCAAGAAGCTATCTCTGACACGAGTAGATCATGGATCTACGGCCCGAGCGCAGCTATTACAACAATTGCTGAAAAGGCTGGAGGCTGGTATAACTCGGATTATGAATTGTACGTTATTTCGTGCACCAAAATGTACACTGATTTATCTTTTTCCTTCATCATCCATGGCAGTCTGTACTCAGTTCCATCCCATGAATACGTACTAGATGTATGTCCTGCATCTTTTGTTAATGTTTTAAAACACTGGTTTTTTTAGGCCACTAGATGACAATATTTGCAATGCATTCTTGAGCTGCTTTCCTTACTTTCTTTGTTTTTTCAGTTAAAAATTGGAGATGGTAGCTGCGTTTTGGCTTTCGATGAGGTAAGTTCCAGTGGTTTTGGTCCATCGTGGGTACTTGGTGCTACTTTTATCAGGACATATTGCAACATTTATGATATTGGTAATGAACGAATTGGGTTCCAAAAAGCTATTCATTCCGCTCTTCCTGATTCTACCACTGTTCATTCTACTTCCGTTTATCGTACCTCTGTTCATTCTACTTCCGTTTATCGTACCTCTGTTTATTCTACCTTTGTTCATTCTACCCCTGTTCATTCCACCTCTGTTGATTCTACCCCTGTTTATTCGACTAGTCTTCATTCTACTCGTCCTTATCCTACCTGGTTTCAACCTACTCCTTATCGCTCTACTCTCAATCCAGATTATTCAAACAGCGAAAGAGTTTCTTCACATTTTTGCTTGTTGCTTTTACAATTTACTTTTTTCACACATGGTTTAATAAACTTTTGAACCAATAATTAAGAGTGATATGTTAAAAAGGAACTGTTTAAAACATACTGGATAGTCCGAGCAGTTTTGTGATGTTATCTGCAGAAATAACGTCTTCTGCTGAGAATAAAAAAATAATCATTCTTATTTTATTGTAAAATACACAGTGTAAACAGGAAGTGTTTTAGAATGCAAAATTGATTATAAACAGCAGGTACGAAATTTTCAAACAACGCTACGCTAAAAGCGAATTGAATTTCTTTCATGTCAGAAAAAAAGGTGAATGGCCAGCAGCAAAATTACGGCAGAAAGGAAGTGAAATGCATTGTTTTCTCTGCGGCTCTTAACGTGAGAATGATTAACAAAATAAATATTAGAAAATTTGCAGCAGCAGTCTGTACTCAACTCAGTTTTGTGACTATGTAATCAATGTGTGCTCATCTTTTACTGGTGTTTTGAAACATTGGA